GGGATGGGATGGGATGAGATGGATTGGGATGGGATGGATTAGGATGGGATGGGGGTCCGATGCCCGTCTGACCCCTCTCTCTCTTTTTCCCCTTCCCCCCCCTCCATCCCCTACCGCAGACGCTGAGACCCCACGGCGGAAGCCCCCCGCTGCAGCCCAGGTAGGGGCTTCCCCCCGACGGGGCGGACACGCGTGGGCCGGCGGGAGGGCCGGGTTGTGCTGGGGGGTGCGGGGGGATAGGGAGAGGGCTTCCTCCGCACGCCGACAGTCCCCCCACGCTGCGGGGTGGGGGCGGGCGCGCTCGCTGCGGTTTTGGGGGCCGCCCCCTCGCTGTCTCCAGGCACCGGCTGCGTCCCCTTCTCCTCCATCCCCATCCCCCCCTCCTCGACGTCGCCCGGGCGACCGTGGCTTTAGATTGTTACTGTGCTGCTGGGGGGGTAACAGTCTACAGCCATGGTCGCCGGGCCCGGCGCACTCGCAGCGCGGGCAGCACCCCCCAGTGCCCCCCCACAAAGCCCGGGGCAGAGAGAGGGAGGGGGAGGGGCGCGGCGCGGGGGTCCCGTCGGGTACAGCCCCGCCTCCCGCGGCAGTAGGAGCTCACATGCAGGCTGCGTTCGCCGCACATCAACTCTTACTGTTCGGGGGGGCGGGCGCGGAGCGGCTCTTCCTCGGCGCAGGGAACAGCGCGGACTCCCCCCCCCTCCCTCCATTCCACATCCACCTCCCCACCCCGCATTATCCCCCCGCCCCGCAGCCCCTCACCTGCCCTTTCGCCGCCCCGACGGGGGCTCCCCCGCTTCCCTGTGCAGCGTCGCGATGCGCACCGACGGCTCCGACGAGCGCCGTGCCGCGCGGGGTTGGGGGAAGGGGGTGTGGGGGGAGCACCGGGAGCGGAGCGCGGCCCTACGCGGGCGCGGCGGCGGCGGGGACTGAGAGCGGCCCGACGGGGCGGATGGTGGTGGCCGGGGGCGGGCGCAGGTTGCACAACTCGCCCGTCGCGGCCAGGAGATTCCTGAGAGGCGAAGTCAGAGCGGCCCGACCCGCCCCGTTACCGGGCATCGGGCCCTCGGCAGCCGGCGGTGAGCGGTGGCGGTCGGGAGAGTCGGGGGGGAGGGGTGGGTTGGCACGGGGGGGACCGCGCAGGAAGCCCAGAGGGATGGGAGGTGCTGAACCCGTGCAGGTGGGTGCTGGGGGCAGAGGGGATGGGGGGGTGACAGCAGCAAGAGGGCAGAATGGGGACAGGGCAGCTGCAGCCCGTTGTACCCCTGCATGAGGGTTCTGCCCTGTTCCCCTCCTGAGGTCAGAGCAGCCCATAGGGAACACTCTGTGCCCCATCCCCAGCAGTTCTGCCCATGCCTGGGTGGGATTTGGGGCAGCCCCATCAGTGGGGGGAACCTATAACTGTGGCAGCCACAGCGGGACTGCGGTGCAGGGGGGGACACCCTGAGGTGCTACTCATCTCCAAAAGCAGCCTTTGCCCCCCAGAAAAGCCTGGAGTCCTGTGGCAGGGGGTCTCTTATGGCCATGGGATGATGTCCAAAATGCGTCCCCAGGTGATGGGAGCTCCCCTAGGACAGGGACAGCCCCCAGCCTGCATCTCCACAAAGACTCAAAGCGGCGCTGTTGTTGTTTTGAAGGCCAACTTCTCTTGCTCACACATTGGAATTAGTTTTTCTTCCAAAGAACTTAAAAATATCTCAGATTTCTGACACTGGCTTCCAAGGAGCCTGGCTTCCAAGGAACCGAGCCCAGGGCCAGCCACTGAGGGACAGAGGCCGCTCTGCTCCCGTGCTGCTTGGCCACAGGGGGACAGAGCTTGTAGGTGAATGGGTGCTGCACAAACACTGCCATATGTTGGGTTGCTGGATGAGAAGCAACACGTGCTCCCAGCCCTCTTGCTGCCAGGATAGGATAAGGCTCATCCTGGGGAGCTGTACCCCTGCCAAGCCCAACGGTGGAGGATTTGGATGCCTCCATCCTGCTCTCCCCAGGTGGGATTTCCCCATGAAGAGCATGTGGCCCCAAAGCCCAGCTTCTGCCCAAAGGGAGCTTGTGCCATGGAGCTGGGGTGGGCAGCACGTGCCCACAGGGCTGGGAGGGGGGCACAGGAGGAGAAGGGGTGCTGCTGCCCCCCAAAAGGCAGCACGGCCCCTGGATGCCCCTCACCGTATGCTATTGTTACCATCTGACAGCTCTTGGCGAAACCATCTTTGTGATTCAGCCGTGTTTATCCCAGCCTGCGGCCCGGCCCAGCGTGGGTTTCCATGGAAAACTTCCATCGAAAACAAGGAGAAAAGGAGTTACAGCAGGAGTGACTCAGCCACAACTGGAAGCTTCTGCGGATGAGGCAGAGAAGGGGGGGACTCTTCCCACCAGCTTGGTCCCGATCGGGCAGCAGGGCCTGGGGACACCCCCAGACGTGTCCTGCAGCTCTCGTGCCCAAATCCCAGCACACTGCAGGTAAGAGCCAGGCCCAAGGGAGATGCATTGTGTAAGCATCCACGAAACGCATCACCTTTCAGGAGCACCCCCTCCCCAGCAATCTGCATCAGGCCCTGCTCACTGCTGGCTGTAGGGGAGGAAGAGTGAGATGAGTAAGGCTGGAAGGACGGCGAGACCCGCTGTCAGCACAACCCACGGGAGCCCCTGTCTGTGTCTGCCAGCCCTGCATGGGCAGTGAGAGTGGGGAGGGAGCGGAGGAGGGCCTGAGTCAGCAGCAGCATTGGGAAGGGATGCAGGGAGCAGGCGGTGGGTGTTTGCCAGTGGGAGGATGCTTGGGATGCTCACAGCATCTCTAGTGCTGCTGGTTGTCTCAGAGCTTGCAGCAGGAATGGCAGCAAGCAGGGGTGCAGCTGTTCTGGGGGCTGGCACTGCTGTGGACACAATGGGGGGGGATGCAGAGAGCTTTGAAAGCTGCTTTGGGGGGCAGAAATAGGGAGCAGAAGGGTGAAGTGCAGCCTGTCACAGAACCCTGGCTCCCATTGCCACTGGATAAAGGCAAGGTGGGGGAGGGGGCGGGGGGGAGAAGCAAACCCCCCCCAAATAATGCTCTCAGGGGTAGGGAAGACATTTCCCAGTCTCTCCTTCAGGCTCACATCCCTCCTGTTTTCTTCCCCATGCAGCTCACAAGAAGGTAGATCATAGGAACTAGACCTGGACCAGCAAAAGGTACGTGGCATGGGGCTGAGCTGCTGCCGAGGTGGCAGAAGGCAAGCAGAGGTCAGTGTGGTGCTGCCTGGCATGGGGCAGACATGGCCATGCTCAGAGGGGCTGTGGCGAGCAGGATTCCCAGGGCACCCTCCTCTGACCAGCAGGTGATGTCTGCAGGAGTCACTTCCCTCCTCCCATCACAGCAGGTGCAAAAAGCACGTTCCTCCTGCACTGCTGACACGTACACCTCATGCAGATTAAGGGCTGGGTTTATTTGTTTTTATTATTTTCTTTAAGCTCAGGGAGAAGACACCTGGCTTTTTTTTTTTTTTTATTGAACTCCCTGGGAACGAGATGCAGGTGCTGGAGTATCAAAAAGCCCCCAGAATTCAAGCCCATCCACCCATCAACCCCCCTCCCTCCCCTCCATTCTCCCCAAAGGAGCTGTATGGGAAGCAGCAGGGTCCCATTCCGCTCACTCACCACGCACACACAGGTCCATCCCTGTTTCCAACGCCAGCGAGCCGCTGCGGTGCCTCCGGCCGGTGCTGCTGCGGGACACGGGGGCGGGGGAAGCGGCTGCGGGACCGCAGTGCAGGCTGGACCGCGGCGAGCAGACATCACTGCAGTGCCTCATCCGCGCCGTCCCGCGGTGATGGGCTGCGCCGGCGAACCGCCACGGCGAGCTGCAAGCTCGGCAATAATTAAACAGCTAACGGCGGGCCGGCCGAGCTGCCTGCTGTCTTTTCACAGCGCCTGGAGGCTCAGGTGGGAAAGCAGCGAGACAAAGGCCCTGCTGCTTTGTCATCAGCGAGGTTCAGCCTCGCTGTTTTGGCTGCATCCACCCACCTCCTGCTGCTTGGCAGGGCAACAGGTGTGTAGATGCACAGCAGCATCTCTGCGTCTCCCCGTGTGCTCCTTTCCCACCTCCCTGCAGGCCAAAAGCTGCGTCTTTGTTCCCCAGACCAAGGCCTGGCATCGTCAATGCAGAGACCAAGGGGTGACAGACACCCCACAGCTCTGCATCAGCCCAGCAGGCAGCCAAGCAGCACTGTGATGCTGGAGCCCCCAGATCCCCCACACCCTTCAGTTACCCAAGGGCAACATCAATGCAAATCTGCCCCGCAGGGGAAAGCAGCCTCATGCTCTCATTGCTGCCTCCATCATGCTGCTGCCACATAACCAGCAACAAACCAGAGAGCAAAACTCACACGAATTAAAGCTGCTCGGTTAGTTTTGACCTGCGGCGGTTCCCAGGCGTGTTCACGGCTCAGTGAATGCTGAGAGTGCTTCCATCTACTGATCCACTCCCCGTGGTTGCCTGGGGCTCAGATCCAGCCTGGGGAAGCATGAGGAGCCCACAGACTCGGGTAGGACCTTCCTATCCCATCCCGTATCACAGCAGTGCTCTCTCCTCCTGGTGCTCGTGACAGGATTGCCCAGCACCATCCTCTGCTCAGTCCCACCTGTGAGACCTCAGTGCAGCAATACAGGAGAACAGCCCTGTCTGACAAGAACAAACCACCACGTTTAGAATCTACACTGCACTTCATCACTGAAGAAAAAGGGGATCACAGACCGTGCTGTGAGCTGAAGTCCCTCTGGGTACAGACCAGAGGCCGGTGTACCCCAGCACTGAAGCCACATGGCAGCCAAGCAGGATGCCTACCATCAGAGCAACAACGCCAGCATCACAGATTTCTGTGTGCTTCTGGAAAGTATCAGACAAAAGCCTAGCAACGCTTGAGTTTTTCTCGTTTGTGAAGGCTCTTTGCACAGCAGAAGATACAACAGATCTCTCAATTCACACAAGCTGAGCCAGCAAAGAAATTTAATGCACGAGGCAAACACCAACCCTGGCACTGCCAGGAAATGTCTTCTCTAGGCCCAGGTCTGCTGAAAGGTTGGCTTCATTTATTTGGTAGGGGATATTAAACACACAAACCTTTTTGGATATAAGAACTGCAAGCACTGTGTGCTCTGGAGCTGCTTCCTCTGAGATCATACTTCTGAAGGGATTCTGAAAGTCCATCAGGCACAGCTGCATCATTCTCCTGTCTGCAACCCAATGTCACATACATAATAAAGTTGCAAAGACGAGATACAGAAGTTTGCTGGGTTAATACAGCAAAGGAGCACAGAGAGATCGTGACAACCTCTCCAAAGAGCGCAGAAACAGCAAGCTCTGCATCCTCCAAACAGCCCACCACAAATTACAGACAACGGTATCACACCGCTCCAGCCCCTGGCTGCTCAGCCCGGCCCTGCCCAGGGCAGAAACGTCCCAAGAAGTGCAGGTAGGCCTCCTTTTGTGCCGCAGCCACGGGGACGAAGTGCCCGCCGGGGTGTGTGATGACGACAGGCTCCACGAAGCACCGCGCCAGCTCAGCGCTGAGGTGCGCGGCGATGACAGCATCGGCATCGCCCACGACGTGCAGCGAGGGCAGGGCGATGGGCTCCCGGTAGAAGTGCTCGTGGGCCGGGGCGCGGCTGGCGAAGGCGGCCACCAGGATGGCGAACGTGACGGGGAAGCGCGGATCCCCGCGGGCCCGCAGGGCGCACACCATCGCGGCCAGCGCCGCACCCTGGCTGAAGCCCAGCAGCCCGTCGAAAGGCCCGCGCTCCTCCAGCGCTCTCGCCACGACCTCCAGCGATTCCTCCAGCCCTGCCGGCTGATCCGCTGCCTCCGAGGCCTCAAAAGCACCGGGCCTGGAGAACCACCACCCACGTGGGGGGTCGTCGCTTGTTTCATCCTCACCGCCGGGCACGAGGTGCGGAGCATCGACGGCTACGAGCTCAGCACGGCCTCGCAGAGCCTTGCGCAGCGCGCCGGTGCGCTGTCGGAAGCGACGCTCGCTCTGCCGGTAGCCGTGCAGCGCCAGCAGCCGCAGCGGCCGCCCCTCCGACATGGTGCCCACCACAGCCGGAAGTAAGCGGCACTTCCGGCCGCCCTCCCCTTCCCGCCGGAAAGCCACGCGCTGATTGGCTATCGCTGCACGCGAGGAAAGGCTCGGGGAGGACCATCCGCCGGCGCGCCCCCTTGCGGCGGGAGGTCGCGGGGCGGGACGTGGAGGGGGCGGCCCCAACGGCGTGCCAGTGGAACCGGCGCCGTGCAGTGAGGGGGGACGCGGAGCGGGAGGGGCTGCGGGACCCGCCTCCAGCACGCAACGAGGGCATACGGGCCGTCCCCAGTTCCAGCCCTTTCCATCCTGGTGCTGGTACCAGGGATGCCCCGAATCCACGTGGCCCCGATGATGCTCACCCTGGGGCAGCTGTACCCATGCCAAGTCCCCGCAAATGGCAGCGGGGCCACGGGGACCCTGTTCAGGAGGTGGCCGTGTCTTCAGGCGGGTGGGCGCTGCGGGACCCCTGAGTGCCATTCTTCAGGCTGGGGGTTGCGGGTGGCTTCTCCTGTAGGGACAGACATGAGGTAAGCAGAGAAGGGGCCATCTGTGCCCCGACGGAAGGCATCGGGTGGGCACCGGCACCGCTCTCCGGGGAGCAAGCCACTGGGTGGCGCTTGTGACACACGGCACCGAGCACCAAGGGACTCAGCGGGGACTCCCACCCCCCAACGCCCACCTGGGCTGGCCGTGCTGAGTGATTGGCCGTCCACGGTCCCAGGGATTGACTGGCGTAGAAGTCCATGGGGTACGGCTGTTGCCACTCGATGTCCCCAAGAGCCACCGCTGCCTGCGAGGAGGGGATAAGGGGCTGAGTGCCACATGCAGTGCTGGGAGGGATCCTCCTGAAACGCATCAGGAGCTGCTGCTCACCTCATAGGGTGTCAGCAGTGGTTTGCTGAAGGCTTCCCCCCAGTCGATGGAGAGCCGGGGACAGGCGATCTGCACCCACCTGCGAGGAGAATGGCAGCAATAAAGCCCCTACAGCCCCGTGTGAGGAACCCCAGAATGGCTCTGGGCACCTCCATGAGGAGCTGCTCCCCTTCACCATGCTGTGTCCCAGGACCACGAAACATCACTTGGATTTGGGGGCACCACGGACGAACTCTCCATGACAACAGCCCAGAACTAGTTTCTCCTTGTCCAGTTTGTCCTACGTCAGGCCCAGCACCACGTTCCCAGCACGGCTTTGGGGCTCCCCACAGGGATGGGGCCAGGAGCACTCACACATCCACGCTGTCGAAGAGCTGCAGCTTGCTGGGGAAGATCTCAGACAGCAGCACCCGCACGAAGGGCCGGCCCAGGGCACGCAGCCGTGACTCCAGGTGCTGCGGGGAGAAAAACAGCACCGTGGGTCAGGGGCTCATGCTAACCCACACAGCACTTTCCATCCAGAAGGCCATACAGAACCCAAAGCTCAGCCCTCAGGCCTCTTGGGAACACAGCTCTGTGTCCCTGCCACATCCAGGGGGGACACACGGTGACAGGGCCGCAGCTCCAGCTCGCACGCCGCTTTCCCCAGCGCGTGCCTTGGCCTAATGAAGTAATTACTGCTCAATGACAACAATCTGTTCTCGTTAGCGGCTGCCAGCCTTGGGACGCCTGCCTGCTGCAGGGCTGAAGGCTGTGGGAGGACGTGAGCAGCGTGGCCGTGACCTCAGAGCCACCAACTATTTTCCGTGCCCTATTGTACCCATCACCTCCCTGAGCTGCCCCCCAAAATCACTCCCAGGGTCTCCGCCCCACATCTCACTGCTGATCCCCCAAATCTCCCCCAAAATCAATGGCAGCACCTTGGCTCTGCTCCCCTTGCCCGCAGAGACAGTGAACCCAAGCAGGAGTTCATCCAATTAAAACCAAACCAGCGAATTAATTGCTGAGCAGCTCATCCAGGGGGGTCTCCATGGCTGGCCAGTATTTAATGAGCCCTTGGCCAACCTCCTTCATCTGCTGCTAATTGCCCTGCCCGCACGGCTCGGGGCAGATCGATGGCAGCAAGAGAGGGCAGGCTCTGTCCTTGCCCCTTTCCCAGCCATGTCCCCATGGTGAGGGGACCCAGCAGTACCTGTAGGATGGCAGGGGATCCCTGTCGCCCCAGGGTGCCCAGCAGCAGCCCCCAGCACTGGGCATGGGTGGCGGAGCGGATGGCAGCCTGCCGGGCTTCCTGCATGCGGTCATGGGCATAATGCTCCTGCGAGAAGACCTTGCTGTAGGGATCATACCTGTGGAGCAGACTCAAACTCAGCCACAAGCAGCCCCCAGCCCCACAGATGGCCCCCAAACTGCCCCGTGCTCTCCTTCATTAGCACTAATTGACTCACAGGGCCCAGTTGGTTCGTCAGGAGGGCAACGGGACCAGGACTGCACTCCCATTGCAGCCCCCCACGCTCAGCCCCTCCCCATCCTGGCTCATCAATTATAAAGGAATCTTTGATTTGTTGCTTTGTTTGACGAGGAGAATTTTAATCAAATCCCACTCGGGTTTCGGCAGCTTCCCCAGCGCCATAAAGCTGACGCGCGCCTCCCGTTCGTAACAAACGACCTACTAAGAAATTCAGATTTCACCAAATGGGCCCTGCCTTTCGCTCTTGATATTTCATCTGCTTTCAGCAGCCTCATCATCGCGCTTTATGGCCTCTGCCTGCAGCAGCCGGGGAGTTTAATGGCTGCACCTCAAAGAGCTTTCACAGGTACTTGTCAAAATGTTTATATTCAGCCGGAGTAAATGGCTGGTGTTCATCGCATGGAGCGTGGCTCCCTCTGCCCTGTTGGGATGGGGGAGGAGTTGGCCCTACCTGTAGGCGGGTATCCCAGGGTTGGAGATCATGATGGACTCCAGGTGGAAGCGGCCGTCCCCCAAATAGCTGCGGGAGAGAGGGAGAGCAATGGGAGGTGGTGGAGTCGGTGTGTTCCTTCCTCAGCACGCAGGATGTGGAGGGGTGGATGGATGGATACATGGATGGAAGGATGGATGGACAGATGGACAGAGACATGGACGGACAGATAGAGAGATGGATGGATGAATGGATAGATGGATGGACACATGGATGGACAGATAGATGGATGGATGAATGGACAGATGGATGGACGAATGGACAGATGGATGGGCAGATAGATGGATGGATGGACAAATGGATGGATTAACAGATGGATGGACAAATGGATGGACGGATGGATGGACAGACAGATGGATACATGGATGGAAGGATACATGAATGGATGGACAGATACGTGGATGGACAGATGGATAAATGGACAGACAGATGGACAGATAGATGGATGGGCAGGTAGACAGATGGATGGACAAATGGCTGGCTGGATGGATGGACAGACATATGGATGAACACGTGGATGGACGGATGGACAAATGGACAGATGGATGGATGGATGGATAGATGGTCAGATGGACGGATGGAGAGATGGACAGACAGATGGACAGATGGAGAGATGGACAGTATGAAGAGAAGGATGGATGGATGGATGGATGGATGGATGGACGGATGGACGGACAGCCACTTTCAGAGCAAAAATGGACATGAAGCAGCAGGGCCAGCGCTCCATCTCTACAGCTGGTTTTAGACGTTGCTGCTTCCATTTCTAATCGGATTTCAAGTCAGCAATTACATTTCAAAGCCTTTCATTCAGCTGCCCTAATGGAGTGAGGGCTCGGAAAATGAATTCAGACGTAAAACTTGACTAGATTTTTGCCCTTAATTGGAGAATGACATTTTGGAAGATCAAAGCTAATTTGTCGGCAAAAGTTAGCCCCAGAGACGGGCTAAATAAGAAAATAACAACGCGGGGAGGATGCAGGTACGTCGGGCGTGAGCACCTACAAGGATTGCGGGCACCATGCTATGGTTCCAATGGCAGCAGGATGGGTCTGCTCATGCCTGTGCCATGCCAGCTTGGTGGCGTTGGGGACAGCAGAAACACAGTGCCTCGACCTGGCAGGGCAAAGTCACAGCCCCATCCCACATGGCTGGCCCATGGCTGGGAACATGAGGGCGATGCTCCACCCCACCCTGGGTAGGTGAGATGGGGTTTAACACCCCCAAGGGTGGGGTCCTGGTATTTATTTATTCTGCAGCGCACTGTATTCACAGTACATTAAGCATTTCCATTACCTAAAATAATTAGGTGATAGGAAGCGAAGTGCTCCCTCTAATTTGCTGTCCTTAAATAAAATTAATGTTGCTGTGATGTTGGGCCCCGGCCATTTGTCTTTTCCAATTATCCACCCGCCCTTCCATCTATTATCTATTCTGATATACGACTCAATTATTTCCTCTGTGCTATGAGCAGACGCCAATCAGAGCAGCTTTAGGAGCTGGAGGGACCCAGCCCAGCCCACGTACACCCCAGGCAGGGCAGGGGAGGGATGGGCAATCCTGGCACCAGGAAAATGTACCCACGGATTTGGGGAGGGCATGGGGATGGGGTTGAGGAAGGGTTCGGGATTGGAAATGGGGAAAGGGTAGGGATGGGGATGGCACTAGGGATGAGAATGGCACTGGGGATGGGTTTGGGGACAAGGCTGGGAATGGGCATGGGGCTGGGGACAAGGCTGGAAAATGGGGAGAGGGCTGTGGATGGTACTGGGGATGATGATGGGGTTGAGGATGGGGACATGACTGCAGATGGGTTTGAGGATAGAGACAGATTTGAGGATGGGGATTGGGTTGGATATGGAGCATGGTTCCAGCCTGACTCTGCCCTGCCATGAGCTGCAAGGTCCTTGGGGACAGCAGGTACTTACACAATGGCATCAGTGTCCCGTGCGAGCCGGGGTGATGTGCAGCCCAATATCTCACCAGGGGACAGAGGCTTGCACTGGGGCACACACACCTTGTACTGTGACTGCAGCTCCTGTGAGGCCGCCTGCAGAGACATGGGGTCAGCCAGAGAGCCAGGATACAGAACCCAAACCTGGCCAAGGCTGGTGACAATCACAGTGCTGGGGACCCTTGGGGCACCTCAATCTGGAGAGCCACAAGGTGCCTCAGTTCACAAGGTAATGGCCCTGTGGAGCAGAGATGCTCTGCCACACTCAAGCAACATATCAATTAGAAGAGAAGGGAAAATGCTTAACGCTCCAACAGCCTCATGTTTGGACAGACGTGGCTCAAGAGGCTCATTCATCTCCGCTCGGAGCAGACAGACAGACAGACAGAGCTGCTGGAGCTTCCCCCAGCACTGCACTGAAATACCACGCGCTCCTCTGCTTGCCCTGACATTTACAGAGCAGCTCCCAGGAGAGTTGGGGAGTGGTGCTGTTCTGAAACATTGATCAGAGTTATCACAAAGCTCTCCATCAACGCGATCGTGGCTGCTCACCTGCACTGCCGCCACAAACTGGATGGTGCTGACCAGGGCCAGGGAAGAGCCTGCGGCAAAGTTGAAGCGGATGGTGTCGAGGAAATGGGATGTGTCAATCTTGATGTCCACGAAGACGTAGAGCATCTTCAGACCACGTGTGGCATCGATGGGGACTGCCGAGAGAAAGAGCGTGAGGATGATTATGGGGGGGCTTTCCTTATGTCCCATAGCCTGGTGTAGGGCAGATGGGGGCCTGTTCACTCCAGGCAGGGGGTGCAGATGGAGCACCCATTCATTTCTCTCTGGATAATGGCAGCCCGGGGGGGATCAATGAACACAAATCTAATTACCCCCGGTGCTAAGAAGCCTGTGTCACCACGATTAAGTGAATAATTAAAGTACACAGAGTCCACATTGATCCGCAGCTCCGCATTCACTTCCCATTTTGGTGCGCTTCGCCTGAGCACAATTAAGTGCAAATTACTCCCTCCTGCAGGGCCGGAGGGATGGAGATGGTGGCTCTGGGGTGGCAGCCCCAAATGTACCATGGGGATTCCACAAGGATAGCTGCACTGAGCCAGTGTCAAGGTGGGCAGCCCAATAGATGCCCTTGGGGTGCTTAATTCATAATGTGGTTTTGAGTTACAGATCTCAACCGGGAGGTCAGTATTTCATAGGGAGCCCGGAGCGATCCTACAAACCCCATAAGCATCCCCAGAGCCCCTGCCCATGCTCAGAGGGGCTGCAGGATGCTGGAAAGACTGAGGTTGCTGCCCAGCACAGCAATTCCACCGATCCACCTTAAAACCCAGAGTGTCTTATTGTTATTTTTGGGCTGATTCCATCCTGGGTGGACTTCAAAGTTAGCAGCATCTGGGACAGCAGCGCAGTTTCCATGGCAACCGGATCCAGAGTACCGTCCGCCTGGGGAGCACACAGCCTCCTCCTCCCTTCCCCTTCCAGCCAGCGCAAAGCCACGTCCCCATTGTCCCCACCGTCCCTATTGTCCCCATCCCCACCAGTAGCTCCCAGGCACTGAGGCTGTGTGCTCTGCTGATGTCAGGCTCAGGGCTGTGATTTGGGCGATGCCACGGCCAAGCAGGCACTGCAGCAGCGCGATAGGGACGCGCTCCGCATGCACTGCTGCTCCCCAAATCCTACCCAAAGGCAGCAACCCAATCAGCCCAGCCCTACCGAGCTCTCCCTTTGGAGAAGGCTTACAACACTCGGTGCCACGGCCCCAAGCTGGCACTGAGCACGGGCACAGTACTGGCAGTCCCCAATGCCACCACACACCCCAGAACCCAATGTCACCTACTCAGGCAGCTGTGTCCATAGTGCACCAAGAAGTCAGCACCCAGAGCCCGCGCCGTGTAGTCATCCACGCAGCACGCGCCGTACGTCACGTCGCCCATCACCACCGCCTCAGCATCTGTAAACCTGCAGGAGGGACAACAGCGCAGGTGGCATCGGGGTGGCAGCAGGATGGCACCGTCATGGCACACGTCCTCCCTGCCCTCTGCCGGTGTTCCCAGCCCCTCTGTGTCCCTGCCGGCACGTGATGCGGTGCGAACGGGGGACCCCTCGGCACGCAGCGGGGAGGACGAGCACTGGCCACTCTCTGAGATGTCAACATGATTAAAGTGGAGAGCGCTAATCCGCCTCTTCAATTGGGTAAAGCTGTTTGCAATTCAGCGGATTATCCGCTCATCAAATAATACGCTGCCAGTTTCCTAATGCAGCTGCATGGAGAGACCCAGCGCAGGGCCACTGCGCCGCGGATCGGAGCCATCCTGAACCGTGCCAACCCCATAGCAGAGGCCGTGCCCCCACACCTTGGGCACTGCTGCTGCCCTCCAGCCCATGCCTGGCTGGCACTTGGAGAAGGACAGCACGAAGTGGCGCTGTCCCCTGGAGCCCATACCTGGTGCTGCCATTGGGAGATAAAGCCCCATCGTATGATTTAAGCACGCCACCTTCACCGGTGGTTTATTGCACCATTTCGGGGGATTATTAGCTTGGCCACGTTCCCGTGGTGTTTTAATTAGGAAAGCAGGTATCGCAGCGACAAAGCCCCATGCCTGGAGGGCTGCTTCAACCAGATGCTGACGCCTTATTTACACTACACCAAGGTTGTGCCACAGGCTGGGTTGGAAGACCCTTCTGACAGGATGGTGGCTGCGGTGCCATTGGGGTCCGGGCACCGGTGCAGTCCCAGTGACACCAAAGCAGGGTTTGGGGACAGCAGAGGCGTCACCCCCTGCTGGCACTGGCTGAGGGCCAGGGTCCCCCTCCCTGAGTGCCGTGCAGGGAGCGTTACGTCGGCGGCAAGAATAGAAGTGGTGGGCAGATCTGGGCAGATGGCAGAAGGTGGAGGAATGGCGGAGCGTGCAGAATATTAACAGCTCCGACCCAGCGGTAGCGCTCGGGAAAGGGGACAGGGCACACAGTGTCCCCAGTGCGGGGACAAAGCCACCATCATCTTCGTGTCCTGCGCAAAGCAGATATCCCATGGGCAGGGGATGCGCTGGGGACAGCTGGAGGATGGGTGTCAGCACCCAAAGCTGTGGTCCCAATGGCATGAATGGGTACACGGCCACCCCACTGCCCATATGGCAGTGCCATGGGGCTGCTGAATGATCCAGAAGGCTCTTTCCCCACCCCCCGGTTCCCCTCAGCCCCCTTCTCTAATGAGAGGTGATGAGATGAACGTGAATCAGACTCCACACATCTCAGCAAAAGTGGAAAATTATTCAGCTCCTTAAGATTCAGGACGGGGAGGTCTGACTCAGAGCAGCAGCCAGCGCCGCTTAATTTTTTATAGATTAAAATGTATGCAAATTGGCCCAAACCCCAGAGAAAGTCCCTGGGGGTAAAGAGCAAGAAAGTGAAATAGCAACGGTGGAGGGAGGGGATGGCAGAGGGGCACTGTGCTCCCACCCATGGCACACGGCCATATGGGGATGGGGCTCAGCTACCTGATCTCATACCATACTCCAGCCATAGGGACTGGGTGGGGGACATGGGACAGACCAAGGACACTGTAGGATGATGGTGGCAGGCTCCCCATGGTGACGTGGGGACAGCACATGCCGGGGTCACCCACACCGGATGGGCTATGATGGAACAGCCATAATCTCCTGAGACAAATCAAAGCAGAGCACGGGGGCCCTCCCCTTGATGTTTTAATCAGTTCGGCGTCGCCGGAGCCTTTCATCAAACTACAGAGGAAGGAAATGTCAATTAGCATCCACCTGCCCGCGACACGGGACGCTGCACTGCAATGGGACACAGTCCTCGCCATGCTCCATGTCCCCACTGCCCGGTGGTCTGGTGGCACGTCAGGACGTGGTGACAGGGCTGTCCCCACAGGGCTGAGAGCCGTTCGCTCCCGCCGGGAGCTCATGAATATTGAAGACAAGGGGAGGTTATTCATCTTTTCCGTCCCGCAAACCCCGTTCATTCTGAAAAACAGCCCGGCCTTAGCGTTTTCCTCATCTCCCCTAATTCATTATCTCCTCCTTTAAACAGATGGCTCCCAAAATGCCATTTATAAAGTGCCACGCTCAGCACCGGCAGAGGGCTGGGACCCCCTGTGCTGCTCTGCCACGGCACAGCACAGAGGTGACACAACCCAGTGACAAACACGGGGACCCCATCCCTTTGCCAGCACCCCCCCTGGCTTTGCTCCTGCTTGACTTTTCCCAGCAAAACTTCCCAACCCCAATCCCTCAGAAGGGTTGGAGGGGAGCCCCTGATCCCAACAGCACCATGGGTGCCCACGTCCCTTTGGGATGGGTACATGGAACTCTTCACTCGACCCCAACCTTCCACCCCCCTAAAAGCATCGAGTGCAGCCCCAGCATAGAACAATGCGATTAATTAGCAGAGAAGCCCGTCGCCGAGCCCCATTACCAGGTTCCCAACTTCATTAGCACAGGAAAGCTGCACATAATTAAAATAATGAGTTTGCAATTTTACTGCAAGCGGCTCTGGAAGAGCACCGCTGCAGCTGGGCAATTATTGCCTGCGTGCAGCGCGGGGACCCGCAGAGCACCTGCAAGTGGGTCAGGATGGGGAGGTGGCAACAGGGACGGGGTTCCCATCCAACACGAGGATGCAGAGCACTGTGACCCCATTGTTGGCCTTTGGTGCATCCCAGCTCTGTGCTTTGCTGGCCTTGAAGCTGGAAACCCCCCCAAAAGAAAAGCTATGGAGCAGAGAACAGCGGTGACCAAGCCACCATGGCTGTCCCATGCCCATCTGATGCCCATCCCTTTGGTGACAGCTTCCCCATGGATGGGCCATGGGGTTGCCAGTTCCCCAGACTCTGCAGGGACACAAGGACATAGGACATGGACACAAGGACACAGACACAAGGACATAGATGCCACAGCAGGATGGCATTAGAACGTTCTGACCTCAGGAGGTAGCAGCCCTTTGCCCCACATCATCACCGCCCCAACGGAGTTGTTCACCATCTCCACTGAAGTGAGAACTTCATTCTCCCTAATGATGCTATTGTGTGCTTAATGAGAGTGATTAAATCCCCCCTGTGCAGCACCATGAGCTCGAAGGACGAAGGGAGCAGGGAGGGCAGCGGTGACTGAATCCTGCACCCCAACAAGGGTCCTTTAGGGTTGACACCACAGCAGCTTGGCCAAGGGACGTGGTGTCCCCATGGTGCCACCCACCACGAGGGGACAGCACATGGCACCTGGGGGCTCCCCCCATTTTGCTACTGTGGCCACCAGCTCCAGGGCAAGAAGGGGCAGAGTGATGCCATCAGCACATCCCTGACTCCATCACCTCCCCTATTAGCAGGAAACAGGGGGGATTAGCAGCTGCACAGCCTGACAGCTGATTTTATTAACAAGGAATCAAGAGCCCAGCTGAGCTGCCTGCCATGCACGGGGAAGGAGGGGGGAATGAGGAGGGGGTGAGGGGGGGGCCCGCTCCCAACCCCCTCCCCAACACATGGAGCTGGTGGGCTGAGGGCTGCCCCCCGATCCCGAGCTGTTGTCCAGGCTTTCCCCCACGCTACCACCCCCTCACCGGCACGAGCTCCCCTCCACTGAATTACATCAGCCACCAGAAACGGAGCCAATTTGGATGCTGCCTGGAGAGCGTCGTGATGCGGCTCCAGCAGCGCACGGCCCCGCCAGCTCAGCAGCCTGCAGGCGGTAGCGAGACCCCCACCTCAACGGGGGCTGCGGACCCCCCACCCCCCTCCACACTCCAAGATAACGACAAACCTATTAGTGCTAATTAACAGGACTTCACACCGGTCAATGCTGTCAGTGTCTCTATTTGAAAGGCTCTGTGTTAAGTGCCCGGTGCTTTTCCATGATGCTCCCATGATATCTTCATCTCTGCTCCCAGCCAACATGATGCACAGGGACCAGGAACCCAACCCTGCTCTTGTCCTCACTTTCTGAGACTCCAACCAGCAGCCCCCTGCCCTTGGCCCCACTGTTTCCCTGCAGTGGGGCAGACAAGACCCTGGCCAGCATCACATGCACATTCTCACTCTCATCCCAGCCCCAGGGGATGTTTTATCCAAAGCAAAAAGGGAGAAACACCCCAGGAGAGCAGACACAGCCCAGGCTACAGAACATGGGACATGTCACTCTGGGGCTGGTGGCGGCTTGACTCTATCCCCATTGGGGCTGCACAGATTTCCACCACATCAATTCCCACCATAGCAGAGCACCAGTCCCCAGCTGGAACACAGATGTCACCCAGTGCCCCCAACCAAGGGAAAGACCTTGGGGTGCCCACGGTCAGGGTGCCACCACTGCTGGCAGTGAGGGTGAGACCGGTGGGGCTGCTGCAGCTCGGGGAAGTGGGGCTTAAGGTTTCATTCAGATGAAAGAGCCCCTTAATCCGCTGCCTTTGAAGTCAGAGACATGAAAGCGGCTGGGTGCCAAAGCCGGGGAGAGGAGGCAGCGCTGCTTAAAGGGACAGACCCACGCAGAGCCACCTGCACTTTGCACCCATCCCCTGCATCCTCCCACCCCTTATGCAGAGATGGGACAGGTGACAAAGCCGGAGTATGTGCCATGACCCCCCCCGCAGGTGCTGTCACCTCCCTGCGAGCCTCCTCACACAAGGTGGCAGCGTGCTAACAAGTGCTGTGACCCCACTGGTGGTGACACTGAGGTCACAGCTCCAGGGGATGCGTCACCAAAGGCACTGTCACCCCGACAGCAGGGATGTGTGACAGCAGTGGGGACCGCAGGCGTTGGGGATGTGGTGTGACCATGCTGTCCCCATCCCCAAGGCACGGATGGTGCTGCATTAGGTTGGGAGCCCCCCCCAGCCCCAATATCGGGTCAGATCTTACCGCTCAATGATATCTGCAATGGTGCAGGCAAACATGAGCAGCCCCTCCGGCATCTGCAGGGCCACTGGGAAGAGAAAAGCTGTGGTTAACGGGGGATGCTCCCAACTGGGGCCCACCCCATAGCACACCAAACCACTTCATCCCTTCCCAAAACTGAAATTGGGCACTGTGGTCTCAGAAAGCAGCAGCACAGCACAGATCTCCCAGGAACAGCTCACCCTCCGCCGCTCTCACCCACCCCGTGCAAATGCATTTAATCCCTTTCTGAACCCGCCGACACTCCTTGTCTCTCCCACTTCCCGCTGTAATGAGTTCTGGGTTTTAATTAAGCACTGCACAGGAAGAGGTACTTTCTTCTGTTTATTTTAAACCTGCTCCTAATAATGTAAACGTGTGCCCCTGGTTCTCCAGCTACAAGAAAGAGTGGATAATCACCGCCTTTTCAGCTCTGCACCATTCATAATTCCACAGCCCTCTGTCATATCCCCCCCTTCGTTCGTCTCTTTCCCAACAAAAAGAACTAAATCTATTTAATCTCCCATTGTACAGAACTGTTCCAAACCTTTGATCGTCCTTCGCTGCCCTTCCCCTTGCTGCTGCTCTCCCACTTTGGAGGTGCCAGCACAGCTCCACGTATGGCATACGTTTATTCACAGTGAGATGATGCCTCTTAGTCCCACTGTCCCCACCTGGGGCTGCCTTTACCCACTGCCACCCAATGGCACTGGTGTCCAAGCACACAGCAGGAGGCTCCTGGCTGCCATCCTAAACCCATCCCAGCACTGACAGTGACCACCCCATAGAATTCCACATTCAGATTGGAAAAGACATCCCAAATCCCCAACTCCAACCCCAACCCACCCCCCCACTGTGCCCAACAACCACATCCCTCAGAGCCACAGCCCTCCCATGTCCCCTCCCCACTGCTCACCTTTTTTGGCTCCTGCCTGCCGGATCCTCCAGATGGTTTTGGGGATCTCAAAGTTGTAGTTGGAAGGCAGAGCCCCCACTGCCTCCCGCAGCTCTGCATTATTCAGCAGCTCCTCGGGAACCTGGCGGGCAGTGCGACGTGGGGCTCGACCTGGGGATACAGTGGGAGTCAAGGGGAGAAGCCTATAGGGCATGGGGTCCTTGGGGCCATAGGGTCACTGCGTCCTAAAGCCATGGAGACATCTCATCCTGGGGCTATGGGGACACTACAACCATAAGGCCATGGGCACAGCATCCTCAGGTTCCAGGGACACAGTGCCCCTAGGGCCATGGGGATCCTGTGACCCTAAAGCCATGAGGACACGAAATTCCTGAAGCCACTAGAAGACCCTGTGCCACCTCCCCAGGGATGAACTGCAGCCTCCCTCACTCAACATGGGACAGTAATGCTGTTTTGGAGGGAAAAAACACCTTTTATGCCCATTATATCTCAGAGCACTGCATCTATAAGGCCACAGGAACAGTGTGCATAGGGCCACAAGGACATCATGTCTATAGGGCCACACGCAGACCTTATGCCACCCGTGGGGATGGGGCCGAGGCACTCTCAGCCCCCAGGGGCGATGCTTTCTTTTTTTTTTGGGGGGGGGGGTGGGGGAGGGGGGACATAAAAACCAACCCCAAACCCCGATGCTGACACCCTTCCCACCAGCGGGCATTCAGCAGCGTCCTCTCCCACACTCGGGGGGGGGGGAGGAAGGGGGGCAGCGCTCCGTTATTCACCGCCGCCACGTCGAACATCGCCCCCCGACGCCGTCATCCAGCGAGCCCACGGCACAGCCGGGACGGGCGCAGCCCCCGCCGCCTTCCCCCGCCCGGCGGCCCCCGGTACTCGCCCCGGTTCTCCCCCACGAGGCTCGGTTCCCCCGCCGGTGCCCACCTGCGCTGCTGGCGGAGGGCAGAAGGGCCGCGCCGCCGGAGCGCTGCGGTGCCGCCATGGCGCGGGGCCACGTGGAGGCGGGCAGGCAGAGCCAGCCGAGCCCCGAGCGGGCGGGGCGCTCAGACCAGAGCAATCGATAGCCGAAAGAAAGAGAGGGAGAGAGAGATGGGAGAGCGGTGCGCACCGCCCCGACGGGACGGGCTGGATGGGGCGGGACGGGTGACAGGGCTGGGTGTGGAGGCTCCGGCACGATGAGCGCGCCGGTGTTGGGCTGTACGTCGGGATGTGCACGGCGTTGAGCCGTCGGGTTCGTCCCAAGACGGACCGTGGTGATTTTGGGCTGTGCACCCCGTGCTGAGCTCCCGGTGCTGAGCGGGTGACGCTCGCAGCTCCGTGGTGCAGTTGCCATGGTGACAGCCGCACCCGCCACGGGTGTCCCCCTCCTCTAGTATGCAAGTGCCTGCGAGTCGGGGGACCCCTGGGGGCCGCGAGGGAGCGGAATGGTGGTGGTGACCCCCGAGGGGTAGAGCCGCCGGTAATGGGATAACGTGGGATAACGAGATCTGCGGTGGGGATGGAGAGAGCCCCAGTGGACTGAGGGGACCTCCGCGGACAGTAAAGCGCCGCGAGGACATCGGGATCCCGGTGTGGGACTGGGTACTCGATGGGGTGATGGAGGCAGCGGGAGGCGGAGGGTACAGAGGGGACTCGAGGGACAAAGAGCGGGGAAGGAGCGGGTGGAGCGACGGGGCTGGGCGGAGGGGAAGCGGGAACAGCGGGGACAGCGGAAACGCGGGTGGGGCAATGGAAAAGCAGAGCTCTCGCTCAGTGTCCGCTCCCACGCTGGGACATCCAGTGTTCCGATAGGGGTGGAGGGGACGATGAGGAGGTGCTTCGGGACAAGCGGGGACGCGATGTGCCGCCCGGCGGGGCGGAGGGGACAGCGATGCGGTGTGGTGCCAGCAGCTCCCCGAGGCCAATACGGCCCCGATGGGGCGGGGGGGGGGGGGGGGGGGGGGGGGGGACAAGGGAGGCGGCGCGGGGAAGCGGAGTAGCGGCACTTTCACGAAGTGTCCACGGGAGGCGGGAGAGGCGGCGGCAGAGGAGGAGGAGGAGGAGGAGGAGGAAGGGGGGGCCCGGCCGGGCTCGCCCAGCCCAGCCCAACCCAGCCCGCCCCGTCGCTGCCCCGCCCCGCCCTGCCCAGCCCTGCCCGCCGCTGCAGGCACCGCCGCACCGGCCCCGGGCTCCCCTTCTTTATAGGCTCTGCCCGAGGGGGTGGGGGGCGGCGGCGGCCCCAGCCCCGAGGGGGCGGCTCCCCCCTAAAAGCCGGCGGCGGGACGCGCGGCGGGCAGAGGCGCGGCCGGTGCTCCCGGTGGGGCTCCGCGGGGCGGGCGCTCCCGGTGCCGCTGCGGCTCTGCCCGCCATGCCCCCGCGGGGGCCGCTCGTTCGGGCTCCGCGCTCCCGGTGCAGCCGCCGCTGCCGCCGCCACCACCGCCGCCACCACCACCGTTCCCCGCCGCCGCCGCTCTGAGCGCCGCCGCCGCTCTCCGCCGTTACCGCCGCGCCGGGAGACCGCGCCCCGCACCGGCACCACGATGCTCCGCCAAGGTGAGCGCCGCAACGGGAGGGCAACGGGTACCGGGGACAGCGGGCAAAGCGGGGGATCCGGTACCGGCTCCGAAGTTTGCCTCCCGCCGAAGTTGGGGCCGCGCCGCCGGGCGCTCCCCCCGCAACCAACCGCTACCGGAGCCGCCGCCGGGGTGCGGGCACCGGCGATCCCCGGGGAACGGAACCGGGGGGGGGATCGGCGGACGCACGGCGTGTCCCGAGACGACGGTGTTCGGTGCCCGATGGAAGGCAGACTCTGATTTCGGCTCCGCGCGGCTGCTCGGGGTTCGGTGGGGGAAGTTGGGGCGCGTTCTTCTTGTTCTCCCCCCCACCCCCCACTCCCCTCCCGTCGACCCGAAGAGATTCGCTCCGCTGTGACATCACGCTATTTCCATGGCAACCGCCTGGGACATCATAGGGATGCTTTTTGACATCACAGCCGGGGAGATGCCGACCCTCCGGGGGGGGGCGGGAGGGGTCCGCTTCTCCGGTACCGCCGTGCCCGGGGACGTGCAGGCGGGGGACGGGGGGGGGCAGCACTGCCATACAGAGAGACCCCCCCGGACCCTCGGAAGGGGCACAGCACCGGCCCAGCTCACGGACCACCACATGCCCCCCTCTCCGGCGATGCTCCGGCACGGGAACGCGCGGTACTCGAGGATGCGGGCGCTGTGCCTACTGCTCCACGCAGCCCTGTGCCGGGGCACCGAGCCCTGCTATCACCCCAGGGATGCCGTTCCCCGCGGGGTTAATGTCACCTTGCGGCTGCGGGGCCTCGCGCTCTGAGCCTCTTCTCTCCATCTCCCGCGTCGGCTTTGTTCGGTGTATTAACTCAAGCGGGCTGGGCTCGATCCCAAATCCCCGTACATCCCGCTCGGAGAAATCATCACTTCCCGACCCCATTTCGCAGCACCGAGGGGTGGAGGCAAAGCAGGAGCCGGGATGGAAAAGTGGAGCTGGAGGTGGTTGCATCCCACCAGGGGTTGCAACCTGCTTAAGGTCAGGATCTACGGCTTTTCGTTTCTGGAGCTAGAAAAACAAAATGCAAATGAACAGCCTCTGGGCTCATACAAAACCTATCCTTAAAGTTTTTGTCTTGTTAAGCAAGGAAATAGAGTGCCAAATAGGCTTTGTTAAGTGGCAGTCTAATTAATAATTTAAAATCTTGTAGCTGTCTTTCATTAGAATTTATCTGTACATCAACCACAAAATCAGTCAAACACACTCATTTATAAGTTAATGCCGTTTCTGAATAATTCAACAGGCAGTTAGGGGAGGGCCTCCGTCCCGCCCGGAGCCTCTCCCTTCCCTCCTCACCACGGTCCGAGGGCTCTGGGTGGGAGTCCTGGACCCTGCAGCCACCTTAAGGGAGGGGACACCGTGGGGACAACGGGACAGCAGCCACCAGAGATGGGGACTCTTTGGGGCCACTCTGGGTTTCGGTGTGTTGGAGGATTTGGTTGGTTTGAGCGGTGCAGGTGGTGATGTTGGTGCTGTCTCTGCTGTTCCCATCCTGCTGCCAGGCAGGGGAATGTGGTTTGGGATCATATGTGCCATCCCATATCCCTGGGGGAAGCAGATCTGTGTGTTTGCTCCCCCCCCCTCCCCCCCATGCCTCCTCCTGCCTTCTGGGGGGTTTCTCTGGTGTCCCCTGACAGGATGCAGCCCCTTGGGCATGGTGCAAGGCATCACCACCAGTGGGATTTGGGGTGTTTTGTGACACCAGGACATTATTGGTGAGAGCATGGAGCATTCTGCCAAACCTGAGCAAGGGTGGCAGCAGGGACAGCATCCTGCCAGAGGTGGCAACCACCAGGAGTGCAACATCAGAGGTGCAAGAGGAGATTTCCAGGTCAAGGATGCTACCAAGGTCATGGCTGGCCGTATCTTGGCATGGTTGTGGGGCTCCCAACTCACAATGCTGTGGGGCCAGAGGAAAAATAACCCCAGGGTTGGGAGAAAAGGGTCCAGAGTGAGCTTGGGGCAGGGCTGTGTGGTGCCATTCTGTAGTGCATCCCACCCCATGAGACCCCAATGAGGAGGGAAATGAGAAAAACGCATCCCCCCCCTCCCCCATCCCCTGCCCGGGAACAGGGAGGCTGTGCCCTGCAGGGCCAGGCACGGCGCAGGCTGGGCTGCGGTTGCTGCACCGAAGAGCTGAGAGCCCAGAAAACCTTTTTGCTCATCAAAGTTTAATTTCATAAAGAGCAGGGAGGAAGCCACAAGCTCTCTGCGCCCGGCGGAGCTGGGGGGAAGCGGGCAGGACGCGGCGCTGCCTGTCCCTGCGGTGGGGATGGGGGGTGAAGGAGGGCGATGCTGTGATGCTCGTGATGAGAACTGAGCTGGTGGTGGAGGGGTCGTTGCTGCTCAGTCACCTGCAGTGATGGAGTCCAGAGGGGTCCTGGTGGTCCCGTCCACAGTGTCCCTGTCTTGCTCCCAGGGTGTCAGAGGCTGTGGGTGATGCTCCAGATGGCCTTGAAGCACTGCCCTAGAAACAGCGGTGAACCTGGCAAGGAGGTGTAAAAATGGGTATTTTTGGGGTGTGACTTCACACCACCTCTCCCTGAGGCACCTGGAGGCAGCGGTGCGGGTCAGAGCCTGCGGTGCGCTCAGGGCCAAGGGATCTCCTCAACCTTTGTAGGGTGGGGTTGAGGGTGGGATGTGGTGACCGCGGCTCTGGGCAGTCTTGGGATGCTGAGAAGGGGTTCTGGCAGCACAAAATTTGGGGACAATACTGGGCTGGGGAGCACAGGGCCATGGGGACGCAGTGGCTGGGAGCATTTGGGTGTCCTCCAGGAGAGCATCCCCAGCATGATGCAAACCCATGCTGTGAGATTAAGCAGTGCCAGCGTGTCACCGTGCACGGTGTGCACACAGCACCCATGGGTGATGCCCCCCACACCCGAGGAGCTGCCACCAACCGGCCGACACCGAGAGCTTTGTTTGCAAAGTGCAATCCCAGGGCTTAGCAGCGTTCGGTATCAACGATGGTTATTAACTGCAGATTATGTCTTTAAAAGCGCTTTGGTGGAGCAGCAGGCAGCAGCGGGCTGGCGAGGCGCCGGCACTGATTGTCACGATCGTTTGACGTCCTCAGGGTGGGACATGGCAGGTGCCACCTCAACGTGTCCCCCAGCCCGGCCCCCGCTGGAGGAGGCTGAGCTCTAATTTAGGATCAATGCAACAAGTGGAGGGTGGTGGGGGCACTGAGAATCATCATCATTCCCTCCTGCACGGCTGGAGCGGCCGTGGGTAGTCCTTCTTTGGGTGGCCCAAGGGTGGGGACAGGGGATGAGTCGTCCTATGTCCCTGTGCCAGAAGTGTGGTTGGTGCCATCACTGCTCCGGATGTCACCGCCGGGTCCAATCTCTCAAATCCATCCCCTATCCCCCGTACCATCCCCGCTCACGGCATCTCCATGGAAACCCGCAGCCCCGTGCCTGCAATCAGAGGGGGCCACTTTTAGGAATATTATTTTTACTGATGACAAATGATGGAGGTGCTGACGGAGGAACGCCCGCACCCGGCATCATCTCCCCAGCGGCCGTCCTTTCCCTTCCGGAGCCTTCCCATCCCACTGAGGGCTCGGCACGTGCCGGTCTGGTGGCAGATGCAGGACAAGGCAGATAGAATGGGGAATCTTCTTTGTGCAGATTAGGATTGTGGGGCTATTAAGCCGAAAATGCTCCATTTGGTGCAGAAAGCTCCTTTTCCCTTTAATAGCACACTGCCTGGCTGCTGCTCGCCTCCCTGCTGGCAGGGCGAGGGCTTTGGCAAGCGGTGCTTTGCGATGTTCCCGTCGGGTTTGTAGGGCCACGACCTCCTGGCTCCGAGCACACACAGCTGTTTGTGCTGGGATGGATGGCAATGGGTCTTAGCCCCGCGGTGGGCTCCAGTTGATGGCATCCCCTTGGTATCGTGATGTGGGCACGGAGGATGCTCCACGTGCGCCCAGGTCCCAGCGCCGAGGGGCACCCATGGGTACCTGGATCCCGATTCCCGGTCCCTCAGCCGTTGTTTCCCAGCGAGAAGGAGAGGCAGCAGTGAATTCGACTGTGAGCTGGCAGAGCTCCGTACGGAGGCAGCCCTGCAAACGGAGGGGAGGTGCCAGTGCGGCTCCGCCAGCCCCGTGCCGCACTTGGGAGCCGCGGATCTCTCCTGCTGCGTTCGTACGGAGGCTCTGCTCGTGCACACTGCATCCCTGCAACCAGCACCAGCCAAGGGGTACAAACCCTTTCACATCACTCAGTGCTTTTTGGGCTCTTCCATGGCCCAGATGAGCTCTCACCCATAAAAGACTGCTCGGCTTGGGGCTGTGCTGGCAGTGGGAGCAGAGACCTTTTTGACCACAGTATAGCCCCAAAGGGAAGACCCCCAAAGCCACCCCTCTTGC